AAAATTATTGTAAATATCAATTTTGAGTGAATAATCTGCAGTAGTTATTAAAATATCGCAGTTTTCGTATTTCTGAAAATTACCGTTATATGGGAGGTAGGCGTGGTTATTGTCCGATTTTGCCCATTTTCAATACCACCCGGCGTACGCCCGAAAGAAGTGCACGTACAAAGTTTCGTTAAGATATCTCAATTTTTACTCGAGTTATCGTGTGTACAGGCGGACGGACGGACGGACGGACGGACAGACAGTCGCCGCTTAATCGATTTCTCTTTTCATTCTGATCATTTATGTATACATTTGTCTATATCGATCTCGATTCGTTTTGCCTGTTACAAACAACCGTTATGTGAACAAAGTTATAATACCCTAGTGCACAAGTGCGCTCGGGTATAAAAAACGATGCAACAAAGTACCTTACAGCTTTGGTTGATAAGTCATATCGTTTCACTGAGCTTAATTTATTTATGTTTTTGGGCTCAAAGGCCAGCTCTGCAACATTATTTTGAATATATGTATTTTCAACGGCAAGAAGCTCTTTTCAAAATTTTAAAAATGTTAGAGACCAGGAATAATTCTGTGCAGAAATAATTTTTTTTTTTTGTCCAATAGTATGAATCGTACGGAAAAAGCAAGGCTTTTCTAGAATGAACTTGATATTTACAAATCCATATACATAAATACTTAGTACACACATGCTATGTATGTATTTGTTGCTTACCTTCAAATCATTGATGATCTGCTGGAAAAGACTGCCCAGCGCGGAACTATCGCGTTCCAAGCTCAAATCCATGTTGATAAATTCACTTCTCCAAGATCACTTAGCTCAAAATATAACAACTCTTTTATTTTATTTCGGCTTTTTGAGAATACTCAACAATTACGATAATTGCCACTAATTGTTAACACTTTTAGACTTTGTTGTCCTCTAATCACTAATTGCTGCTTCTTTTGATTTTGTCATTGGTAGATCGATCTCGCCACTGTTACATTGACACATCAATTACGATCAGCCACTTTGACTTTCAGTTACTTTACGTTAGGAACGACTAGCTCAACCGCTGATGTTTTCTTCGCTAAAGATCACGCGTATCAAAAGCCGCGGCAAACAACTTGAAGAATTATTTTGACGTTTCGACATTTTTATGTATTTTTTTTTTTTTGAATTCAATCACTTTTTTCTTATTTCTGCTACGTTTCGTCAGCTTTTTAATTGTTGTTCTTTTAATATTTTCTACTGATGCTTTCTTCGGCAGTGTGAGTACAATCTCTAAAGCCGCAATTGCTGTTATGTTATGTTTTATTATCTTCTGTATTCCTTTTTATTTGTAGTTGGTTCGAATTTTCGTTTAGATTAATTTTTTGGAATCGTTTGGGTTTCGTTGATGCTTTGCTATTTTGCGCATTTCTTTTTTGTTTTTGTTATTTTGCTCTACTGTTTTCGGGCACCGAAATTAATCATTAATTCTGTAAAGACAAGAAAGAGCAAATACATAAATTAATCATTTGTCTGACAGATATGACACCACAGATTTGAAATGTATACAACGAGGGTAGTGTATATGTGCATACATATGTACATCGGCGTAGCCAGAATGAAATTTAGGGGGGGGAGGCCGAATCAGAACGGCTATTGTGTTTTTATGAGAAGCTGTTTTTCATGGCAGAAATACATTCGGAGGTTTGCCAAAAAACTTTATTTTTTTTTGATGTTGGGTTGAACCGGACTTGAACCCAGGCCCTGCGGAAGTGTAGCGCGACTGGTAACCATCTCAGAATTCGGTTGAAGAACGCCCTATCTCAGCTGAAAGTACACTGAAAATGTGCTGTGATAGGGCGTTTTTGAAACGAATTCTGAGATAGGGCGTTCTTGAAAAGTTTTCTGAAATAGGGAGTTTTCGAGAAGGCTGCCGAAATAGGTCAATCTTGCGCTCAGGTATCGATATGTAGTAAATTTTTTTTTTCTTAAGGAAAACAATCTTTACACGAATCGTAAGATCAATTTTCTGAATTGAAAAATTCCCAACTTAAAATTTAATTGAAGTTTTCACCCCCTAAAGAATCCGTTATTCTAGAAACCTGGTTGGTTGTCGTGCTTACTGGTATAATAGCTCCCTGGGCTAAATTGAACGCATCAAAATAAATTATTCATCAAATTGTTTGAAATCTATTGAAGAAACCAAGAAGAAAGAGTTATAAGTAAAAAAAAGGTAATTTTCGAAAATTCAAAAGCTATAGTTCTAGATTGTCCGATTTCAAACATTCAAGACTGTGTTTAAAAAGGTCAGGCGCAATGTGTTCACCAAATTTGGTACAGATTGGTGAAGCGATTTTTCATATACAAATATAGTGGGCGAGGACCACTTTCCAAAAAAGAAAAATTACGAAAAAGGGTATAAGGCTCAGAGAGGTGTAAATTATTTACTGTTTTGTGTTTTTTCTACCTCGCTAGTTCGAAGCCCTAGTACAGAAATGCAAATATATCGCACGCAAAAATAATTTACAGTCGCTTATTTGTGTAGAGTTAAAAGCAAATTTTCAGCAATAAATAAAAAAGTATGCGCAGTCTTAATTATTAAATATTTCATAATAGTGTCATTTACACAACTTATTAACTATGTAAAATAAGTTAACCGAGACAAAAACAAAGATCCAAAAGCTCGAACAAAACCAAAAAAAAAAATAAATAAAAATGTACCAAAGTGCAATGCACTCGGAAATGTTTAGTCAAAACAACCGTCCGCCCGCCCGCCATATGAATAATTATTATGGCTGCGATGCGTCTGTTTGTTCTTCGGCTGATGATTGTTGGTTAGCAAGAATATGGTTTAGAGTGCATTTAGTAATTATAATTGCCGGTCGTAAAATATGCTTAATTGTGTTTAATGGCAAAGTGCGTTTCTGATTTCGGCGTTGCCTTTTCATCATTTTTGGGACAAAAAAAAAACAAAACAAAACAAAAAATATAACAAAAAACTATTTTGTGTGAATTATTGAGCTTTTATCACAAAAGTAGCGGTTGTCATAACTGCTGCTGATAGCACCACTATGTACATACATATGTATGAATGTATGTATATATATGTACATATATGGTAGCGTAAGCGATATGCGCGGCAAACGGCAATAAACTCCGCTGCACTCGCATTTGCAGCCAATCGACAATTATAAATGCACTTTCACGGTTTCGTTGTGACCTACATACATTTGCATCTATGTACATGGTAGTATGTATGTATGTACTACATATGTATGTTGTATATGAATGCTTTTCTTTCTGTTGATTTTTCAGTGCTATTTTTGATTCTTACTTTATATGCATTTCTGTACAAAATAAGTTGTATACAGAAATGTTTATGTGTATTTTAAACCGTTGCATTTAAAAACCTTTGAAGCGTGTGGGATGCAATCAGCTTTGAATGTACTTCGTAATTCACCAAGAAAAATTCATTTTCCACGAAACTGATTACCGAAATAATGCCCAGCGATATTGGCTTTGAAAACTAAATTTAAACTATTTAATTTTTTAGGTTTAGCTTTTTTCAAATTCTGTTTGAATTAAATTAAATTCATGCATAAATTGCGTAATATTCATTTTTACAGCGAACAACGATGGCTTGTATGTAAACTCGACCATACCACCAGCAAACGAAAGTATTTTTGCCAGGAAATTTGGAAAAAACAAATTTTTTTACGTACCGACTTTTTAATTTTTTTAGGTGAAACCTACAGCGGCGATAAAATATTTTTTAAATCGTTCTACTGGAGTAATAGAAATACTTCCTTAGCAAAAGTTTTATGATTTCTGGTGAGCTTTAATTTACTGTCATTAAGAAAACAAAAATAAAAACAAAACAAAATGGAAAACAAAGAAATCGTCTGCTCGAGACAAGAACACCGGTATATTATTATTTAAGATCCGACTGTAAAAATGCCGAAGATATGACGAAAAATGCAACAAGCAATTTTTAAGCAAAAAAAAAAAACAAAACCGACTTCAATTCTCATATAAAAATTTAAGATTATCGTAAATTTCTTCACGATCCAATTAGGCCGTGGTTATGCCACCAGTTTTAATTGGCAATCGAAAGAAAAAGATTTCGGTGATTGGTGAGAAGTGGTTACGCTCTGTTTGCTGATTGGCGAGCACAGGGTTGCTTCTTAAGAATGGCTGCACTGAAGTAAAAATGCAACTAAAAATGCATCAAAATTGAAGTCGCAAAATGAAAAATGGAAGATCAACTTAATATTTTTTCTTTCTTTAATATTTAATTTTTATAATAATATTTTTTTTTAACATCTACTTTATAATAATAAAAAAAAAATATTTAATACTAATACTTTTTCTCAAAATAGCGTATTGCCACCCTGAAAAATTGGCGTGTGCTGGCTGTTCGGTTCACCCAGCAAATAAATCGTGCTGGATGTTCGATTTCGAAAATTCTCTCACTCCGTGCTGTGTACAACAACAATTGCACGGTGATGGCCAATCGAAATTGGTGGCGTAACC